GCTATTCTGGAGGGTTCTTATCTGGTGGGGAGGGATGTTGCCTACTCAACAAAGTACTAGTGAAGTGCCAGTTGGGTGGGTTGGGGAAGGAAGGATCTGCAGATAAACATAAAGCAGAATATCTGTGCATTTGGGGATGTCAGTAAAGCACCCAGGGCTGCACTGTTGGGCACAGCCTCTGCTGGGTTATGTTTCCCAGCAAGCCAAAACCCTGGGATTGTTCTAATTTTCTAAACAGCAGCATATCCTTGGAGTCTGGTTGCTGAGCCTTTTTTCCTCTTCTAGATACAGCACACAGAAGACATGGAAAATGAAATAGATGAGCTGTTACAGGAATTTGAAGAGAAAAGTGGAAGGACTTTTCTTCATACTGTCTGCTTTTATTAAAGCACATCTGTCTCTTAGGCCTTAATACAGATGAGGGAAGCATGTGTTTAAATTTCTGATTATACTGTATTTTCCTGGAAAATGAATATTGATATTTGTTTGTTTGTTTGTTTGTTTGTTTGTTTAAAAACTCCTTTTCAGTGTCTTTTTGTTTCAGGTGTTCTGTCACAGGTAGGCAGAGGTACTGGTTGGGCTTGTACATATGAAATGATTAAAAGTATACACAAAGGCCACCTATTTAAAAATTAAATTCAAGTTCTTTTTTTTAAATCCTACTTTAATTATTACAAGTAGGTTTTTAATTATAAAGAGAATGTTTCTTGAATATAAGTTTATAATGTATTTTTCCAGCTTACAAATTTATTTTATTTCAGTTGTGCTTTTTTTTTTCGTTTGGGTTTTGTTTTGTTTGTTTTTTTATTTTAATGTGACAGAATGGCTAAGGATGTGAATGGAACAATTAAATAACTGAGTATCTGTATATTATTAGCTATAAAGTTGGAAGCATCCAATAAAAATGAAAAACCTCTAAGTTTGTCTGTTTTCAAAGTAGCAGCTGAGGGAGTGTCTGTTCTTTTTGAGGTGAAACACAAAGTATCTGGGTGAGATGAATAAAACTGAGAGCCTGTAACTGTAGCAGTGAGGGCCCAACGTGTAAGGAAGATGGGGAGAAATGGCAAACTCCACCGGCAACTGAAATAACTTAAATTTGGAGGTTTTTTTAACCAAAGCACTTTTGAATAGAAGCATTTTCCTCCCTTACAGCAGCAATAAATGTGGTTGTCACGGCTCAGAATCCAGGAGGTGGGTACGTGTGTACAAACAGAGCAGAAACCTGCTCAAACTTATGGAAGTGAACCCAAATTATTGCACACTCAACATGTAAAGTGCTGTTGCTTACAGGCAAGAGAATATCTTAAAAGCTGTTCCATTAAAGGAACCTGTGAAGAATTTGGAGCAAACGAGGCTCTTCTGGGGTAGCTGAGGACAAAAACCACCAGGTTGGAAGTGAAGCAGCATCAAGTGGGGGGTTTGTCCTCTTGGCTTCTCCCATTCCACCAGATTTTCCTTGCTGATTGTTTCGCCCTTGCAGGAGTTTGGTGCAGGTGCTTTCAGTTCAGGCCGGTGTTACCCCTCTGTGCAGACAACTCTGGCTGTGGGGCAGTAAATCCTCAGGTGATGCTGAACCTCTCTCAGTGAACACACAGGCATCAAAGAGCAGCATTTGGGGTTCCACACCTGAGAACTGCAAGTCCATGTTGGAAAACACTTCTTGGCAGCTGCAAACTCTGAGGTCTCAGTCAGGCCCCCAGGGAAACCTTACACCTCGCTGCTCATGGGATCTTGGGGGTTGGCTGTGGTTTCAACTGCTTTGTGGGAGAACTTAGACCTCTGCCAGCTCATCCGTGTCCTGGCCGGTGTCCAAATGGGTCAGTGCATCATCCTCGGGTCCTGGGAGTGTTTAATATCCCTGAATTACCTGGGCTGCTTTGCTTGTCTGTTTAAAAATGCTTAAAAACGTCGTGGAGAGTGGCAGGATCAGAACAAACAGGGGCTGGGGAGCTGGAGCAGCAGCTGGGATGAGATTTACAGGGTGTGTGATTTCCAGTTGGCATGTCCTGTCCCATTTTGTTCCTGGAGACTCTGGGTTTGATGGATTTCCTTGGCCTCCTCTGCTCCTCCTCGCTGGTGTGTCTGATACCATCTCTGTTACCATGGGGATATTTTACAGCCAAGGGAAGGAGATGGTGCTGTGAGGACTGAACTGCTTTATGGATCTCTTTAAAAAGGCATTCCAAGCACAGTGCTGAGCATTTGGAGCAGAGTTTTCCTTCCCCATGCAGCACCAGCACCGAGTTCTGCTCTTGGCAAGGTGAAACCTGGGGAGCGTTTGAAAAATGTTTTTGCTCTCAACTTAATTCACCCTAAACAGAGTTCTTTGTTGTTATTTCACAGAAAGGCAGGAAAAACCCACACAGGGTGTTTTAACCCGAGTTTTGTGTTTATATTGGGATTCACAGCAGAGTCCTCTTTATTGCAGGAAGGTTGCACTTCTCATGTGTGTGGTTGGCAGAGAATTCTGGCTGCTGTGGTGCTAAGTATGGAATAATTAGAACTTCGCTGCATCTCTTAACCAAGAAGCCTGAAACCACAATAGAGTGCACAGGATGTTGCAGAACAGTTCTTTCCATCCTAAACATTCTGTTCATGAGCCAGAGCAATGCTGGGAGCTGGTCCTGTGTCACTTGTTTATTTACCAGTGTGCAGAAGGATGGATAGATGGATGGGTGGATGATCTGGAAGGCCAAGTCAGTATTTTGAAAGATCCACAGTCAGTATTTCAGCTTTCTTTGAGCATAACTTGTTCTTCAGCCTAAAGCTGTTCATACCCTGGCATGTTACTTCTCATTTAACTTGAAAAATTTATGCATTTGTGTAGTTACTTTGTCTCCACATGCTTTATTTGCATCGAAATCCTTGGATTCTAAAAGCTCAGTTAGTACAGGAATTTTATGGTCTCTTGTTTGAGATACACAAAAGTGTAGAGATATAAAACTGGGGCTAAACACAAGGTCAAAGCTATTTTCTGTGTCAAAAAAAAAAAAATTTCAAGGGAAACTTTGGTCTAAAGGAAAGGGGAAAAATATCTGGGATATTCTCCCAGCTTCCCTGGCCAGGAGAGGTGGTTTTAAAATGCCTGATCTGTGGGGGTGGCTTGGAAATGAGGAATGTGGATGGGTAGCCAGGCAGAACTTCACTTCCACCCAGTTCCTTGGTACTTGTCTTCAAAGTCTCTGCTCTCTCCTGTGGTTTTATTTGGCTGTTGCTTTAAAAATGGTTTGGTTTTCTGCAACTAGCAGAGTAACCAGCTGCATTCTCTCCACATTAGTCCTTCTGAGCTCTGCACATCAGTGGTGAAATCCATTTCTGAGCTCAGTGAGAAGTGGAAGTAGCTGAGGGCAGAGGGTTGTTGAGGAGAGAACTCTGAGGAGTTGGGCAGGGTGTGGCAAGAGATGCCTTCCTAGGCATGAAGCGCCTGGCTTGTCAAACGTTTCATATGTGTGGTTTAAATTAAAAATTAAAAAAAAAAAATCATCTGCAATGCAATCTGTGCTCTAATTTGAGGACACCATTTAGTGGTTTTAATTGTGTGACAGTATTTTGGTATTTTCAATACCCAGTAGTAGGTTAATGACTGTTCCTTGAAGAATGGAGTTTATATAACACGAGTCATTACATAAGAAGGCTGATTGTGGCCTGAGGAGCAGAAGGAAAACAAATATGAAAAAAAGCAAACCCCAGCACCAGCAAATTCTGCTTTGATGGCCCTGAGAAGCCTAAAGAAATAAACACCTGGGTTGTGGCAAGGTGAAGCTCACCTTGAGGAGGGCTGAGGACGGGGCGGTGAAGGCGCTGCAGGACACTCCAACCATCAAGCCCTGTGCTACCACGCATTTCCCACGTGGTGGCTGGAACCGCTTCCCTTCAGCCACGTCTCCTGCTTCACAGGGAAAGGAGCGACAGCCAAACAAGCAAAAAGTTACCGGCTGGCCACTTAATTTCCTTTTGATTTCCCCAGGAGCTCCTAAACGTGGCCTGAGCTGGACCGACCAACCCTGCGGTGAAACAAAAGCCGTGGAGAACCCGAAGCACGAGCTGGGCCTTGGCCCTTGGATCTGGGGGTTGGCAGAGGGGATGAAGTTGTGCTGGTATTCGTGCCCCAAAAGCGAGGCAGGGGTCTCCTGTGTCTGCACCATCCCAGCTTTCCCCAGGGGCCGACTCCAGGGAGGTGGGATTTGCTCAGGGCAGGGCACCCTCAGCCCTCCCTGGGAGCCCCTCTGGGCTTTTTCCCCGGGGCAGGGGGCGCAGGGCCGGGACCCCCACCCACCAAGGGCCTCTCTGGGTGCGGGCAGCAGCGGGCGGAGGGAGGTGCCGAGGGAAGGAGTGTGCGCGGCGGAGCCCGGGGCTCGCACCCACCACACGGGCCGTGCCCGGACCCCCGGCCGGGCGGGGGGGTCCCGGCGGGGCCACGAGGCGGGATGAGGCCGGTCCCGCATCATCCCCCCACCATCCTCCGGGAGGCGAGAGGGGCCGGGACCGACCCCGGGCGGAGGAAGGGCGGGGTGAGGATGGCGTGTGGGACTCGAAACGCGGCCAAGCGCCGCTGCCGGGGCTCCGCGTGCGGCTGCGGGGCGGGGGGAGCCCCGCAGGGCCGGCCCGCAGAGCTGCCACCGCCGCTCGCCATGAGCCGCTCCCGGAGCAGCGCCTCCCCACGTAGGTAAATGCCCGGGGTGGGGAGGGGGCGGCCGGCGCTGCCTGGGCGCATCTCCCCGCTGCATCCCGCATCCCTCCCCTGCATCCCGCATCCCTCCCCCGCCGTGCGGGGCTGGCCGGCGGCGCGGAGCCACCCGCGCCCGGGAGGGGCTGGGCCGGGGGGCTGCCGGAGCCGAGCGAGCGGCGGGGACACGCAGCCCCGAGCAGGGAGGGTTTGTGGGGGCTTATTTTTGGGGCGGGTGGGCGCGCTGATTTTGGAGGTGGTGGTGGGGGGGTCGGGGTATATTTTATTTCCAATTCTATTTCGCAGCGGGGATGATTTTGGGGAGGGTCGGGGGAGAGGATGCAATGAGGCTCCCCCGGAGCGGGTGATTTTTTTTGCAGCCTGCCTCCTCCTCCCCCAGCCTC